AATAGGTCGCGCCACCAGCGAGTCTGTCGAGGAGTGAGCTTCGGTTTTGTCAGAAAAGCCTGGACAACAGAGTTGTCCGTGCGCACCGTGAACGGTGCCCCGTGCAGGTAGTGACGCCAGTGCCGAGCGGCATAAACTACTGCAAGAACCTCACGTTCATCAGCAGTGTAGTTTATCTCGGCGGGCAGGAGCTGACGGGAGTAGAAGGCTATCGGACAATCACTTGAGCGAGACTGGACAGTGCCGTCCTCGGCGATGGTAGGAGAATAGTCAATAAAAGGCTCATCAGTAGCTGAACGAGTAGGCATCCGTTGGGAAGCAGTAGTAGGGGTAGGTGGTGGGAAGCGAGGGATACGAGGATGAGAGGAATCAGGAGAGGAGGGGAAGATCTGAGAAAACACTGCTCCTATAGCAAAGTCTGACGCATCGGTGGTAAGGATAAAATGGCGATCAAAATCGGGTAGGTGAGGAACCGGTGCGCATGTCACTGCCTTTTTGAGGGCGCGGAAAGCATCCTCGTGGAGGGGTGTCCAAGCCCAGGGTGGGTTCTTCTAGAGGAGGGTGGAGGTAAGGACATAGGAATACCTAGCGTATCCCCGGATGAAGTTACTATAAAAGCTGGTCAGGCCTAGGAAGCTGCGAAACTGCTTGGCGGATGTGGGAGGGGGCCACTCCGCAATAGCAGTGATCTTCGCGTCGTCCATGTGGAGACCCTGGTCAGACACGTAGTGTCATAAGAAATTCACTTTGTGCTGGGCAAAGCGGCACTTGCTTAGCTTGGCGTAGAAGYCATGTCTGCGCAAGCGGTCAAGGACATCGCGGAGGTGTCTGAGGTGCTCCTCAAGGGTACGACTATAGACCAGGATATCGTCGAGGTAGACGAGAACGTACTGCTCCAGGATGTCCCTGAAGATGTCGTTCATCGCCCTCTGGAAGGTAGCGGGTACGTTGGTGAGGCCGAATGGCATCACCGTGAACTCGTAGTGGCCGAATCGCGATCGGAACGCGGTCTTCGGCTGGTCGGCTGCAGCGACGCGGATCTGATGGTAACCGCTACGAAGATCAATCTTCGTAAAGAAGCGGTTGCCTGCTAGGCGGTCGAACAGCTCATCGGAACGAGGCATGGGGTAGCTGTTCTTAACCGTATAGCGGTTTAGGCCGCGGTAGTCGATGCAGAGACGAAGAGTTCCATCCGCTTTGCGAGCAAAGAGGACGGGTGCATCCCACGGGGAGTTGCTGGGTTTAATGAAACCCAGTCTCAAGAGCTCCTCAAGCTGACGCTTGAGTTCGGTGGCGTCGGGGATCGAGAGTCTGTAGGGTGTCTGGTGGTGAACACGATAGTCAGGCACGAGCTGAATGGAGTGCTCGACGTCACGCATCGGTGGGATGCCGGCGTACGAGAATGACGATGGGAAAACGTCGTGATACTCTCGGATGAGGTCATGAACTGCGGGCTCCAAGTCAGCCGTATATCGTGCGAAATCCTCAACGTCGGCGTCAGCGCGCGACGGCGGGGTGGACTCGACGGACGGCGGAGGGACGGAAGTAGAGATGGGAGCCATGAAGATAGAGGGAGGATCTGGCTCCAGAGGGATGAGCTCGGCGTCGGGACAGGGTGGATCATAGTTTAAGAGATCCGTCACGTCCACCATAAAGAAGGTGACATCGTCCTGTCGAATGAAGTGAGCGAACTGCCGAGGCGAGGTGAAAGTGATAGAGGGAGATGTAGTGGGCACTGAAGGCTCCGGGGGAGGAGGATCGGGGCGTGGTGTCGCCGTGGTCCCTATGAAAGGTACGCGATACGTCTGTCCACACTTCGTTTTGAGAACGAGAGTGTTGGTCGCCCAATCGGCCTCGGTGCTGCGGAACCGACGAGACCACGGAGTGCCGAGAATGAAGTCRTACCCCGTCTCCATCACATCGAAATGTGCAGAGGAGCGGTGGCGACGAGATGCCGGGGAACGCTCAGTCGGCTCGAGAGTGAGGAAGAAGGGGAGGTCGGTGACCGTATGATCGAAGAAGCGCTGGGTCTTGTCATCCCCTAGGGTAACGGACATGGGAGTCGGAGACCCTGTCGTGGGTAAGCGGGCTTCCTTCACCACGCGTGGGTGAATGAAGTCGCCCTGAGAACCAGAATCCCACAGCGATGAGTACACCCTCATGGAGGTCCCGAGTCGTACGGGGATGATCGGGAGGGTGCGATCAGGGTCAGAGAGGATGGCAAGAAGGCGACGCAGTGCAACAACATGGAGGGTGAGTCGCTCCTGACGAGCCTGGAGCATGCTCAAGTCCAGAATAGAGGACACAATGTCCTCGCGAGTAGCAAGCTGCTCGCTGCAACAGGCTGAGCGAATGGCTCGACGTGTCGGTAGTCGCGGCGGGGAAGGAGGGGAGACGGTGGTCTGCGGAGGCGCAGACGGTACTGCGACAGAGGGCTGAGTAYACTMTGTCGAGTCCTGCGATACCTCAACTCCAGTAGCGAGAGGGGCGAACCGCGACGGAGATGTCGGGAAGCCCACTACTGAGGAGGGCGCAGGTGTACACTGCACCGTGGCTAGGAGGCGCCGCGGGGACGTGAGGCC